GCTGTGCTTCTCTTGGGTCCCTTAGTTATCGGCATATCAATATTCTGGGAATTCATTCCAGGATGGAACCACAGACCGCAGAGGCACACTGTAAATCAGTTCACTGTTCCATGCTGTCCAGTTGCATTTTGATTTAGGGCAACCCGATCAGGGTTTCTGGGTATGTTGGATATTGAAGGAATGGTTCTGGGTATGTTGGATATTGAAGGAATGGTTCTAACAGGGCCACCACCCACCCCAGTGAATTTCTCTGGCCAGGAAGGGATCTGAGCATAGATCTCCAGAGTCTGTTACTCAGATCCCACTGCACTACACTAGTGTTCACAGTTCATTTTGGAGGTAGGAGAAACACCATCAACCTGTCCCTAATCCTCATCTCTGATACCATCGGTTCCCAACCTGGGGTCTTGAGATGTTCTTGGACTACAGCTCCCAGAAATCCTGGCCAGCCCAGCCAATGTTGGAGGCTTCTGGGAGATGCTGGGAACCAATGGTCTAGAATCTTGGTTTCCCTGGTGTTCTTTAGACTACAACTCCCAGAAGCCTTTGCCACTAGCTACTCTGGCCTAGATTTCTGGGAGTTGTAGTGCAAGAACATTTGGGGAAACAACGCTGGGAGCACTCCTGTAGCCCTCCTCAACTCTTTTGAGATCTCGGTAGAAATATCTCCCGGGCTTTGCTTGGGCTGAATTAAGGAAGCTGGTCTTTTGGAAGAGGCTGCCACGCAGATACGCCTGGAGAGGAAAAGCAGGCCACCAAGAATCTCCTGGATTGAAATGGATGAAGGCACTGGTTTCCCCAAACAAAGCAGCCATGCAGTCCAAAGGCATGCAAGCAAATAGGGCTGGGAGAAGATAGAAGAGAAGAGAAGAGAAAGAGAAATAAAACTCGCCATGGAGTAGGGCTGGGGGGGGGAGCTATATGGAGTAGGGGGAGCGGCATCCGAACCAAAAGGAAAATAAAACCGAAACCAAAGAGACAGAAAAAGCCTGCCCCCAAGCTGGGAGGTCTGAGCGCTGAAGGACGTTGCCAGGATCGGGGAAGTAATTGGTGCTTGTTCCTCCAGCAGCCAGCCAGGAAATAAAAAAAAGAGGGTTTTCACTGCGTTGTACAACCCATGTAGAAAAGCCACACACACGGCTGCGCGCGCACACCCCCGGTACCCGCCAAGTGGGTCCCCACAGCCAGGAAGCCAGTCCTCCCTGAACTAGTAAACGAGAGACGGAGAAAAGAAAGACAGACAGAGATTAAGGCTGAGAGAGGGAGAGATTGGGGATCCGTCGCCTGGCACCTTCCCCAAACCTAGGTTTCTATTTAAAACGAAAAACACCAAAACAATACGGACAATAAAAACGGGGGCACAGAAAATCAAACCGCTCCGAAGTAAAACGAGCTGAATTTTTTTTAAAAAAAATCCAAACCACCCACAATCCTATTCTAGCTGGGCAGAGTGAAGTTCTTGTAACTTTACAGAAATCAAAATGAGATAGGAGATCAATAGGCTGGTCTGGATCCCTTTGTTCCACCAAAACACTTTTGGGGCGTGCGAGTGGACACCTCAAATGTTGTGGTCAGCGCCCCTGGGACCTGTTCACAAGTTGCCTGTCCCCCTTTCTGCTCTGCAACAGAAACCCACGACATCGCAGGACAAAAACAAGGAATTGCGACCTCTTTCGGACGACATTCTCGTCCGCGTCAGATGGCCGAGCGAGACACACCCAACCCGCATGGATCTTTTTCTTTCTCCCTTCTCTCTCTTTCATAGAGCCACATTCGAAATACAATGTTTGCTGGAAAAGAAAACCACGTATTCCCACCCAAGCCCAAATGAAACGGGGAGCGAAAAAAGGTGGCACTGGAGTTAAGAGGATTCCATGCACCACCGTTGGGGATCAATCACAATGATCAACGAGGAAGATGCAAAATACTGAAATTAAAATATAGTCACAGAGCCTGCTCCTCTGTTTTGGACTGATTATCTTTTGATGGCCTTATCTAAAGTGACAGGATGGGTGGCTGCCGGAGAGAGCGAGAGCGTGCCCCCTCAGCCGGGGCTCCCATCTCTGAAATGTGTTCCCAAAGGAGACCCGCCTGGCACAGAACTACCTCTTCCACTGGCTCCCAGTGAGCTCACTGACTTTCATTTCTCACATCTACTATTACTATTGTCACTTGATTTGCCGGCATGTGACACTCATAAGCTTCTCACTGTTTCATGCCCTCTGACTGACTGGTCAGCATTTGGTGTGATGGTTTTGTGGTTTCCCCCATGCCAGATCCCCCCAAGGGCATCTGCCAGTTGGGTGGCGTCACCGAATTTTAAGTCAATTGAGACACTCTTGCGGTCATCCGGGGAAAACCTAACAAGTGACAAGTTTCTCAACCGTTCTGTAAGGTCTCACTAGGCTGGCCAGCATACCTGTCTAAACGTCACTTCGCCACGCTCTGCCCTTTTTGGGAAAATTAATCAGTTACCCACCATTCACTGCAATTTTCAACAATTTTTTAAGGAACATGGTGTTTTAATAGCATTTAAGAGGCTTCCTTAGTTTAGTTAATTTACAAATCAGTGCTAACTACCATGTTGCCGCTTGCGTACCTGGCCACGTGCTAATTGTAAGACTTAGCGTGTGAGTAGGAATGCAAGCTGTGACTTGCTAACTAGTGATTCGCCGCCATGACTGACACACAGTTCCTTATGCTGAGGTCATTCCCCAGCAGAATCCTCACTTTGGCCTTGGATCCTGATTTTCCATGACCTGTTTTTTTCCCCCAGTGCAGCAGCTCTGGTCGATCAGCATTATCTTTCTTGCTTCGCATCAGAGCGCTGCACAATTTAAAATTCTGGATGTAGAGATGAAATACAGGTAAAATTAAGAACAAATTAAAATGGCAAGATAATTGGGACTATTTTTTGACCAGAAGCATCTACTTCTACAGTGTGATTTGACAGATTTTCTTTTGTACATGCAGTAAAAGAGTTCTCTCTCTGTGTGTCTTTTACCACATGGACAAATTATATATAATGCTTTTACCATGTGTATGAATGAAATAATGTTTTCACCATGTTTGTATTATATTTATGCAAATATTCGACAAAATAACTATAACTTCACTGCAGACAAGCTCCAGATGACATCAAAATTGTGCCAGGAGATTTAAGAGCCCTTTTCCTCAATCTGAGCTTCTCCAGAGGCTTCGAGCTACAAACCCCATCTATACCACGACCCAACGGGCAGGGATGAGGGTTGTTACTGCCCGAGAGTGGATGATAGGCATTGTAGTTGAAAGGTAAGACTAGTTTGGGGCCCAATGGCTCCAGATTCATGCTGCACAAGAAGGAACCTCCGAGGGGGGGGCAAAAGTACCCAACACACTGAAGAGGATAAACTGCTCCCAGGAATCCTATGGGCAAAAGGAAAATGGGTATCCCACTTTATCCGGGAATTCCGAGAGAAGGGGAAGCCGTATTCCGCGTTCCCCCCCAATACGCTCCGCCTTCCCCCTCAAGCCCAGCCTTGCTCGGGGTGTCTCCCGAATCCGTGGCTGAGTTTGTCACAAGCACAGATGAAAGGAGACAGGAAATTCAAAAGAAAACAAAAGGCAGTCCTGCCACAGCCAGTCATGCGGGCGGAGTAAAAGAAAGGAGGGGGAACGGACGAAAGAACGAAAGGAAGGAAGAGAAAGACCCAACGAAGAATAAGAATGAGAATAAAAACAAAGAAACAAACAAAAAAACCCACAACCCTTCTCATTCTTTAAAAAAAAGAGGGGGAAAGGAATTATTTATTGGAAAAAAAAAGAAAAGCAAAGATTCGTGACAAGCCCGGGGTGGAGTCGTTGCCGGTCGGGGACCGCGGACACGACCAAGGCAACGGTGAAAGGGAGACAATCCATTAAACTAAAACCGGAATCAGTTTTATGCCCCGGCACCGTGGTGGTTTCCCCCGTGCTTATCTATGGGGACGGCAGGGCGGGGGGGGAGCTCTCCGCTCCGTTTGGCTTGTGAATGAGACATTGTGGGAACAAGAGGATCAGAGGGCAACGGCCGATGGAGGTCGGACAGCTTGCCATTGAAAACACAACCGTGTGACGGCTCGTATTCCTCTGATTTTCGCCTAACCACCGTCTTAGCCCGCAGGAGCCGTCTGCAGCATCACAAATCTGCCCCCGCCCCCGTTACAAGGCCTCGTCACCGCCAGGAGTATTTCTTTAAAAGAGGGAGTCAGGCACGGTGCGGACAGAGCTATCACTCACAACCCGCCACTGGGCACGGAGCGCCGCAGAGGATGATAGCGGGGCTCCCATCCCTCTTTTCTCAGGTCGGTCAGAACCGTTCTCTCTCCGTAAAGTTTGGACCCGAGCCTCGTAAAGGGTCTGCTGTGACACCACTTTAAAATCCGCAGCCAACGGATTTGGGCTCCACGGATATTTGCTTCCGCCAGATGAAAAAGTAGCCCGGCATGCCTTTGGATAACCAGAAAGCACGATCTTGGATCAAAGCCAGCATTTCCTTCAGGAGACCCGGCTCTCTGGAAAGGAGACGTCAGCCATTCTTGTGGGCTGCAGGGACCAGCATGGGGAAGGGGTGGGTGGGTGGAATCATCCTCCCCCTCCCTAGAAAAACATCCATCCAACCCACACCAGGAGCACTTCTGGTCTAAAGACTACATGACACCACGGGAGGCCTAAGGACATCATGGGACAAACCGGGCACAACATCCGTGTCGGTTCGGTAGAGAGAAGAGACGTCAACACAAGCCGACCGTGACACCATCGGAAATATGAAGGCCTAACCACAACGGACGTGGGATGGAAGTGCTGATCCATGAAAAAAGCACCGAATGGGATACACCAAGTTTAAGATGGCGAACATCTTGCCCTACTTCTGGTCATCCCCCCCCCAGCGGCCTCCTCCTCAGCGCCCCCGTTTCCGCATCTCCTCCCCAGCTGTGACTCTCCCCTTCTGCGTTATTTCGGGAAAGGAAAAGGACACCTACTAGACTGCAGAGTGCGTTCCCGGACCTCTGGGGTAGGGGCCCCAAGGCCCAAAGCCGAGCGCGCGGCCAGCTGGAAGACATACTCTGTGTTGGGGTTCAGGTCTTTCACGAGAAACGAGGTGGTGGGGTCAAAAGTCTTCACGAACTGCAGAAGGGCAGGGGGTGGGTGGGCATGTCGGCCCAGTAAGGAAAAGAAAGAGCAAACGTTTGAACAGATAAATGTCTCTATAGTAGGACCGCGGTTATCCTCGGGAGATCGGTTTCATGACCCCCCTCCGTGGATGCCGAAAACTGCACATACAGCAAACACAGAAACGAGGTGGTGGGGTCAAAAGTCTTCACGAACTGCAGAAGGGCAGGGGGTGGGTGGGCATGTCGGCCCAGTAAGGAAAAGAAAGAGCAAACGTTTGAACAGATAAATGGCTCTATAGTAGGACCGCGGTTATCCTCGGGAGATCGGTTTCATGACCCCCCTCCGTGGATGCCGAAAACTGCACATATAGCAAACGCATATGTAGCATAGTCCCTGGTTCCCTCTAGTGGCCTATTCTGATCATGCATCCTGGAAATGCACATTTCTGGGGGTTTTAATTTAATATTTCAGACAGCGGATAGCTGAAACTGCGGATACTGACTCCGCAGAGATGGTGGTCTTACTGTATATTCACATGTCTACACTATCTTTCCACTTTTGGCCCCCAGGTGTGAAGGAATGGGACGGCCCGACGCTTACCTCTGGGTTCCCGGACTTGCTGCTGACTTCTTTGTAAATGAGCTCGTACTTCTGGATGATGTCCTGGCGAGGTGGGCTCCAGGTGAGCATAATGGTACCTTCGGTCTTGGCTTCGGCACGGAAATTCATTGGTTGCCCAGGCACTGAAGAAGCGCAGTGGAGGGAAAGGGTCACCCCCAAAAGCATCCCCCCAAAGAGAACAAAAATGCCCAAAGCTGTGCCGAGTCGAGACTTGGTGGGAGGGCCGAAAGGGAAGACAGCTCAGGACTCGATCACTCACAAAAAAAACAAACCCGAGGAGGAGACCTCGGTCATTCTTCAGCGACTGAGGACACCTTCTGAACCCACAGCTTTGCCCTTGTAAATGACAGAGACCTGAGGCACCCTTAAAGATTAAGGGCCGTGTGCCTGCCAGTCAAAACTGACTTATGGCGACCCACAAGGATTCCTTGCAAAGCAAGGATTCGAACCCAGGTCCGAACTAGAGTCCATCACTGTAGCCGCATGATCACCCTGGCATGTTTTACTGGGCACAAATGCTTTTGTTTCAATGCAACTGAATGCGATGCGAACGCTTTGGCCATGGTCAGATGTCACAAGAGTATTTCCTGCCATGTGGCCACACCCTTGGAAATTTCCCCCCTTCTGTATTCCCTCCCCCAAAGCTTTTCTCTTTCCGCAGAATTTCTGCGTTGCTTCTGCTGCAGAACAAAAGAATGCAGCCCCTCTCAATGCAGTGGAGCAGAGTATAGGCAAAAATCAACACTTTGGCAGTCAAGAAAGAAGCCAATAGGATCGGCAACAGCAAACCCCTGGGAGACGGGCTACAAAAAAAATGCAGATAGCTTGATACAGTGGTGCCTCGCATTGCGACATTAATTCGTTCTGCAAAAATCGCTGCAGAACGAAAACGTCGCTATGCAATATTTAAAAGCCCATAGAAAAGCACTGAAACCCCTTCAATTCATTCCTATGGGCTTAAAACTCACCGTTCAGCGAAGATCCTCCATAGCGCAGCCATTTTCGCTGTCTCTTAAGCGAGGAATCTGTTCCTAAACACAGCGGGTGGCCATTTTGTTTAACCAGCGGCCATTTTGAAACCGCCGATCAGCTGTTTTAAAATCGTCGCTTTGCGATGCTCGGTTCCCGAAGCAGGGAACCGAGCATCGCAAAGGGAAATTCTCCCATAGGGAACATCGCAAAGCGATTGCTTTTGCGATCACAAAAAATGTGTCGCAAAGCGATTTCATTGCTAAACGGAGCGATCGCTATGCGAGGCACCACTGTATTTGTGCCAGGACAGGAAGGGGAAAGTTGGACTGGTGACTCCCTCCCTGTTTTTCACCCAAAAACCAACAACAAAAGACTTATAATAATCTTAGAACAGCAGAGCTGGAAGGGACCCCTAGGGGTCATCTAGTCCAGTCGCTGTCGAGGAGGCCCAGTGGGGGATTCGAACTCCCGACCCTCTGGCTTCGCAGCCGGAGACCTCGACCCTTGAACCTCTGGCTTCGCAGCCAGAGACCTCGACCCTTGAGCTCTCCAGCAGTCAGTTTGGGATGCTAGGGGGAGTGGAGCAATTGTTGGGCTGAACTTAAAGGCAGGGGGGCCGTCGGGACACTACCCCCAATACCCCAAAACGTAGACAGGGTTGCTCAAAGCTAAAGAGAGGGGAAAGATATAAACGTCCTTCCAATGCCGGGAAATTAAATGCTCAGCTTCCTGGGTGGGGTGGGGTGTGTGTAGCCTGCACCGTTCCATTGCAAACCACGTTCAAGTGCTCTGGGGTGGTATATAAGCAGCACATTTTGCTTCGCCCCCCTCCTCTCATGCCTATTCAGGCCCAGAAAGGACGATGACACCTGGTGAGACTCACCTCCCTGCTGGGTCTTCACTTGAATGGGATCCGAGAGTGGCCCGTCCCCCACGGACGTGAAGGCGAGGACTCGCACGGTGTAGGTCTCATGCTCCAGAAGGCTGCTCACCGTGGTCAGGAGGCTGTCGTCCACGTTGTGCTTCTGCCAGTTGCTGACCGGCTGGTCGGGCTCCATGGTGTAGTAAACCCGGTAGCCACGGATCTGCCCGTTGGGCTCCACGGGCTCTTCCCACTGGATGATCATGGTCGAGGCGCTCAGCATCCGGGCCTGGACGTTCCGGGGGGCGCTGGCCGGGGCCTGCTCCCCCGTGCGGGTCACGACAGGCTCGCTGTGGGGGCCCTGCCCAATGGAGTTGACCGCCGACACCCAGATCTCGTACTCAGAGTTGGGGCTGAGTCCCCCGATGCTGTAGCGCGTGGTGGTGATGTCTTCCTTGATTTGATACGGCCCGTCTTGGCTCTTTGACTTGTACTCGATGACATAATAGGACACAGGGTCGGGATTCCCCGAGTCCCAGGTGATGGTGATGCTTGTGGCCGTCGCCTCGGTCACGATGGGGGTCCCCGGAGCCTTGGGGAGGGCTTTAAAAAAAGAATAGCAAAATCAGAAGCCTCTCTGAAAAACACATATGGACGCCAAACGGCGTCCCACCATATGCCGGAATGTTGCATGTCCCCCGGGAAGTTACGACACCGGGAGCCGGCCGCGGCTGTTTCGGGAACAGCTGAGAGATTCCCTTGCCTTGTTAGGCAGAGTTTTATTGCCTTCCTGAAATGGCTTCATCAAAAAGAGGAAGTATGGAAACTCAGCATCTGGAGTCATTAACAGGCGCTCGGAGCGAAAGACAACTGAATGGCGCATTTGTGGGGCCCAGAGAGGATTCTGTACAGCACAAGAATCATCTTGTGAAGACACAGATGGGGGGATCAACTAGTTATAGGGCAGAGCACTGTGTATGGCTGAAATAAGGGGTGTGGGGGGACAGACTTGTGTGAGGGTAAAGGGCCAAGGCAGGAATAGCAATGGACTTCCATGCCCAGAAATCCTGGCCAGCCCAGCGAGTGGTGAAGGCTTCTGGGAGTTGGAGTCCAAGAACATCTGGAGACCCCGGACTGGGAACCGCTGCGCTAAGCAGTCTCTTCTTGCATCCCCCCCTTGGAAAAAATCTAGATTTTCAACCTCTGCAAACCAGGCGGGCCTCTCCCCGTTGCTCTACTTTGTTGTCCTCAGTCCCCCAAACTCCTATCTGGGCGGATTCCTGCATGTATATGTGCACTAAGGGTACACTCACACAACCACCTAGGGCCTTCATAGATCGTTCTGGACAGGCACTTCAAGAAGGATGCCGACACACCGGGGGAAGCTCAGAGGAGGACAGAGAAGGAGAATCAGGGGATGGGAAACCAAGCCCTATAAGGAGGGAAGATGGAAAAAACTGGGCAGGTTTAGCCTTGAGAAAAGAAGATAGAAGGGAAATAGGAGAGTGCTTTTCAAAGACTTGAAAGGCAGTCCTCCAGAGGAAGGGCAGGATCTGTTCTCCATCATCCAAGAGTGCAGGACATGTCATCATGGGCTCAAGAGACAGAAAGCCAGATTTCGGTTGAATCTCAGGAAAAAAATTCTTAACTGTTAGAGAAGTATGACAAGGGGACTCATGACCTCAAGAGGTGGTGAGCGCTCCAGCGCTGGAGGCCTTCAAGAGAAGTGTGGTGTCCAGAACTGGACACAGGACTCAAGAAGAGGCCTAACCAGGGCTGAACAGAGAGGGACTCATACTTTACATGATTTGGAGACTAATTTATGGAGCTTACAACCATCAAATGCCGACAGATCACCTCTAGCCCCAAAACCGGACTGTCTGGTACACCAAGAGCAAATCCCACCCTGGTTCTTTGGAGCTAAAGCCCAAGAAAAGTGGCTGGCTGACATTTGACTGAAAGGTTGGACAAGACAGGACTGGGCGATTTTGTTTTTAGCCTAGAGTGAATGTACTGAGCTTGGATCCAAGGCCACAAAAAGCAAGGCCGAGGGGAACTCAAGGCTTGGTTTCGAATTCGGACGGTGCAGCGCTCAACATACACTTCACCGTGATCTGCGCCACGGCCTCAATGACGCCCAGGCTGGACATGGCGACGCAGGTGTAATTGGCCGAATCCTTCACGTCCGTCAGCTCCAGCACGTTCCGTCCCACCGGCATGTCGTCCTCCGGCGTCAAGTCTTCAGCCCCTTGCATCCATTTGACATACGGCATGGGCGAGCCCACGGCGACACAGGTGATATTCACGTTCCCTCCGGGCATGATCTCGTGGCTGGATGGTGGAATGGAGAACCGAGGAGCCACGCGACGGACTGTGGGCAAAATTGCACAGAGGTAACAAAACAAAACAAAACAAAAAGCAAGAGAAAAAACCCAAAAGAGAGAAAAAGAGAAAAAAGAAAAGGAGGGGGAGAGAGAGAGAGAGAGAAAGAGAGAGAGAGAAATAAGGGATGGGGGGAAAAAGAGCAAAAGAGATTTTTAAATACAGATGGGGCTCGAATTATTTGCTGTTCCTTCATTCAAAGAAATAACAAAAACAAAAGAAAAAGTCTGAAATTAAAAATTGTTGGAGGACCAAAAAAACAAACAAACCAATCAATAAAGGAACAAAACAAAACAGAACTTGGAAAAATAATTTACTTTCACAAACAATATAGAGGATATAGACATATAAAAAGCGATATTTCATAGCAACAGGGGGTTCCATTGATCAAGTTTAAGACCCATCACAGCACAAATAAAGACACAAAAATTTATTAGCAATTTCTCATCTTTGGGGAGAGCAAAGAGATCGCGTGGGATTTCCAGACAGGGCGCCCCGTCGTGGGCCGGGGTGGGTTTTTTTGGGGGGTGGGTGGGGAGACCACCTGCTCCCCCAAACCTCAGCTCTGATCAGGGAGGCCAAGGGGCGGCTGCTTTCAAACCTCCCTCTCTTCACCTTCACTTCCTTGAACCCGAAGCCAGGCGGGTTCTGTTTTTTTTTTTAAAGCAAAGATGTTTTTAAAAATATTTTTTTTGAGGGGGGGGGGTAAGCAGCCTGGCCCCCTCCAGAGAACGAGAAAATATCAAAATAGCAGGATTGGGAGTGAGGTTTAAAAGATAGGAGGAGAATATATATCTATAACTACATATAAAGTATACTCAAAAATAGTTAAGGGTGAATTTTCTGCTTCTCCAGGTAGAATTTATTTTTGGAGTGTAGGTCTAAGAAACCTGTTCAGGTTTGCCGAGAGCTCCGTATCATATGTTCTAGAGGGATTGACTGTTTCCAAAATGTAAAGAACGGCATCCTTAAGGTGTAAAGATAAAAAATATAGCTGGGATCAAGAGAAATTTAAAAATGCCAAGGTAGAAACTTAGTTCTAGCTCCTTTGTTTCCCACTAAGAGCAGGTCTTTTGCAAAGCTAACGGACCTTAATGGCGCATCCAAAATCAGACCACTTCAACATTATTTCTGCAGGGTAGCGCGCTACTGAGATGTTGCGCTAGGGAAGTGTCAAGTTATTTTTGACAGCTGCAGGTCAGATCACAGGAAGAAAGCATGCGAAAGGGCTATAAAGAAAACATATTAAGCTTTCCAGCCCAGTAAACCACTGGGGATGGGCTTTGAATTCCTGGTTCTCTCTAGTGAAGCAAAGAATCGGAAGCTTATATGGATGTTGAATGGTTACAGAGACTTCACGAACGAAACTGCAAAAAAATCCAAAAAAAAAAAAAAACCCCAAAATTGGGATAGATAAAGAGGGAAGAAGGAAGTCTATTTTTCTGGAGGTGGCCAAAATTTAACCCCCAAATTGAGAGGAACACACACGGCAGAAAGGAAGGATGTTCTTTCCCCCCGCCTCTCTGGAAAATGAGACGAGAAGCACCATTGGCAAGAAGGCAATGTGGGTGGACGGGGCGTCCGAAAAAAATCAAGAAAGATGAGAAACTCTAATCAAATTTTTGTGGTTTTCGGGTATATCAACCCTAACGAAGCCTCTTGGAAAAATCTGACATGATTCCATCAATAGATGCAGCTCTTTAGAATCACACAAATATCATGCAAAAGAGGAGGAAAAACAAGAGAAAAGGAAGAGAGAGAGAAAATGCAGGAAGGAAGAACGGAGAGGAAAAAAAGAGAGAAGACAGAGAAAAGGAAAGAAAAGAAAAGTGGTTAGATGGGCTGCTAGTGCTTGCCCAGAAGAAAAAGGAGGAAAAAAGAGAGAGGGGGAGGGTTTAAGGGTAAGGGGAAACCCACTTTTAAAAATGCTGCATACTCTTTTTTTTCCCTCGTTTCTAGTGGATGTGAACCAATGCGGTTATTTTTTGAGCATTGGCACATCACTGCCCTGGCAGAATAATCATAACCGTAGTAACAAATAGAAAGAGAATAAAAGAGGATCAAGACGAATTGAAAGGAGGAGGAAAAGGGGGGAAAAATTAAAAGTCAATAAATAAACAACATAGAACGGAACAAAACCACCAGGCCATGGGAAATGAGGAACACGGACAAGAAGGAGAAAAAAAAAAGGAAAAGCAAAGAACAGGAGAGACGGAAGAAAACCACCATGGATGGATCCTCGGGCAGGAAAGGGGTGGCATTCTGAGAGGGTCAGAACGGGATGGCAAGGGGAGGGCTGTTCCTTATGGGTCCAATTAAAAAAACCATTAGTCGTCATAATATGGTATAAACTACAGTATGGTGTTTCCAACTCTTAACAGGCTGAAAGACGGGAGTGAGTGAAATCCCGGAGTGGACAAGGGTATAAAACAGACCAGATCTGGAGGTTATAGAGGGATTCCGCTCATTTCTATCCCACCGTTCCACCTCCTGAGATCTGAATTTCGCTAAGACGATTAAAAAAGAACCCCCTTCTCACCTCTCTCACGGGCCGATGGAGCATCAGGGCAGGGAAACCTCTAAATCGGCTAAGGCATTTGATAGCCTTGCGTCTTGCAGGGGAAAGGATTTTAGATTCTTTGACTCTAACGGGCAAAAGGTAATGACTCGGATCCGGGTTTCTGGTGTTTAGGACAAAACTCGCAGGCTCGCTCCTTGTCTGGAATTTCATCAGACATTCACTTGGACCTCGTGGTTTTCTCAGGGAACTCGCTGGGCTCGGAGTTCCGGCACCAGTTAAAATGGCCCACAAACTGGATCGGGTTTCCAAAAAAGAGTCATTGTGGTTATTTGGAAAGAAAAAAAAGGGTCAACTTGGAAGCAGAGATGCTCTTTAATGTCCACACCGAATATTAGCCTCATCTTTTCTGGAGCTCTCCACGGCGCTGAGACCCACTCCGGGAACATTTTGGGTAAAACTCACAGTCCCCCCCCCCAATCTATGTGACAGCAGAATTAGAGGGTCACTGCTAGCAAAAAAAGGTCCAGAGTTCCATCTCCAGGGAGGCCCCAAAAAGACTCTGAAAAGTCTAGAAAGCTCCTGACAGTCTAAATATCCAGAAAAGGATGCAATGTTCAGATTTCATGGACCACCAATCCCGTAATTCTCTAATTTAGGAGTTCCTAAATGCAGCTCACCTGGGAGAAAAAGTCTAGCCTGGAAGGCTCAGAGGCCTAGCTAAGCCTAGCTTTCCATTCAGAAAACAGGAGCAGGAAGCCTGGGAGGCGCTAGGCCTAGCTCAGCCTGCGAGCCGTCCAGTCGAGACCTTTCTCCCGGGTGAGCCACACTGAGGTGTCTGCCTGTCAGGTGGAACGCCCAGAAGAGAGAATTATGGGATGTGCAGTCCAATTATTTTAGAAGAATCCCATCCATGATAAGAGATTCTAAAAGTGGACCTCACTAAAGGCCTTGCATCTGCAAAACAATGGATCTCACTGATCCCCTGGGAAGATGGTGGAGGATGAGCAAAAAATGTCATGAGCTGTGGGGTGGACTCATCATCCCCTTCCAGAAACTTCTCTATGTTGAACTTACAGCTGTCCTCCAGTGCCATGCCCTTAAAATTCAATTGTAGGGATTATTGTTATTATTGCTGCAGGGGGACAATTATATTTGCTTAAAAGTGGATCCATGAGAAAACAGCACCGTCCTTTGAAACAAAATGGAGAGACATAGAAGAACAAGAGGAATAAAAAAGAAGGGAAGACATGCAGGAAGGTTAGAGGCTTGGAAAACGGGATGGAAAGAGGAAGGATTTTAAAACGGAAGGGGGTGGGGGGGTCGGATCTGAAATTGGCGGAGGATGGGAAAGGTGGAAATGTGAGGAGAGGCCAAACTGGAAGGGAGAGGAGAGGTCCAATTGGGCACAACCTGGGCAACAAACAAGGTCAGAATGGCAAGAAGGAATGTGATGGGAACACCCGGGTTGTCTGTGGAACAGGACGAGACAGTAAATTAGAACCGAGTCTAGCACTTTGGGGAGGATGAGGGAAGGGGAAGAAAAGGTGGGAGGGAGGGAGGAGCAGAAGAAGGGAAAGGACCAAACCAGAATGAAAAGGAAAAACAGGGAAACGAGAGATCAAACCGGGGGGGGGGGGGGGGGAGGTTTGGTTTGGGAAAAGTTGTGTGAATCGAAGTCTGAAGGAAACACCAATTTTTGTTCTCTGTTCACGTGGGTGGTGGAGAAACAAGAGTGACATTTGGCGTAAGTACCTCTGGTGGAAGATAACGGATGCCGATCTGGATTTAACGTACTACAATTTAGGATCATTTCCTCCACCCAGATGGTGGATCCGTGCAAAATCCGGAAGGATAAAACTTGCAGGGAACATTTAAAGGGAAGGTGGCCCTGTCTCAAACCAAATCGTGGATTCCCTTTAGCGCAGGGGTTCCCAACCTCGGGTAACCCAGGTGGTCTTGGACTAAAACACCCAGAATCCTTCGCCACCCGCTGTGCTCGCCAGGGTTTCTAGGAACTGCAGTCCAAGAACGCCTGAGTTAGCCAAGGTTGGGAACCCCTGCTTTAGCGCTATGAAGTAGTGCAGCAATTTAGCGTGATGTCACTCTGGGATGGATTAGGAATACCTGGCTATAAATGAGGAGCAAGCAACATGGGTAGATCCTGGCTCACACCTGCCACGCCCAGAGCATGTAAAGAACATACGAGATTTAACATGCTCTTGTTAAAAACCTTTACTTTCATGATGAACAGGAGAAAACAAGGTTTTGAAAGTGATGTTCTTTTAAAACGTTGTTCGCAACATGTATCCATCAACTTGTTTTCCTGTCTGGCATCAGAGGACCAGTTTCAATATTAATGCGTTAGACTGACCTGTTCTTTCCAATGTGGAAAGCCCGAGAGTCAGGAGTGATCAAACCCTGATTTCTCTCAATAGGGACTGATGAGTGATTATAGCACTATAACGCGA